AGCCCCAGGCCGCAGGGCGGCCCGGGCTCCTGGCCCACGCTCTTCAAGTTGCCCATGCCCGCTGCTTCAGCTCTGCCTCTCCCTCAGCACAGCCTGGCCTTTTCCTTAGGAAGGGGAGGGGGCAGTGGGAGGGGGTTCTTGCGCTGGCCCTCGCCCCGCCCCGGCCACACACAATGGGACAGGAACAAGGCCGCTGGGAGGCTCTAAAGCCTCGGCTCCATGCCCACTGGCCTGAGGGTGGGGGGCCGGACGCCTGGGTTCCGCTCAGGACTGGGGCTGATAAGTGGGAACCCAGGTGTCTGGTGGAGGCCTGGGCTGGAGTGCAGGAGCTGGGCACAGGGGCCGGGGAGGGGGCAGCGGGGGGGCAGGCAGGGCCGAGCTGCACCGCTCCTTGTCGGCCTGTGCCGAGGCGCTGAGGCCTGCACCCAGGAGCCGGGGCCTGCCGGGGCCTGCAGGCCTCCCCTGCGCACTCCCCTACATGTCAGTGCGCCCGGTCCCCACCTTCAGGTCTTTCGGGGGCCTGGGGATATAGGCCCGGCTGGACGCCGTGACCCTTTGTCCTTGGGTCTGGCTTAGGGTATCCCTTCCCCTCCCAGCCCCAATTTCCTGGAACCCCCGCCCCCGTGACTCAAGTGGGGGACACAAAAGAGCAGGAAGCTGCCCTCCGGGGCCTCCACCCCCACGCTGTCATCCAGTGACGCACGCTTCCCTGGAGGAGGCAAGTCAGCGCACAGACCGGCCGTGGGCGCGGGCTGCAGGGCCCATGGGGGCTGCTTGCTGCCCTACTACGAGCCGGGGGAGACCACAGTTCCCAGAGTGCAGGTGGCACACAGCAGCGCTCTTCGGGCAGCTCAGGCGGCTGTGCCTGCTGGGGCTTGTAGTTGTAAGCCCTCCGGGGAAAGAAAGGTCAGGAGCGGGTGTCTGGGACTGCAGGCCTCACAGATTTGAGCTGCAGAGGCTAAGAGAAACTTCCAGAAAGAAGCGGACGTGGAGAGGCGGATGGCAGAGGCTGGGGAGGCAGACAGGCAGACAAACAAACACGGAGATTTGTGTTGGCCCGACTCCCCTGCAAAGCCGTGGAGGAGGCCGGGGTGGGCCTGGGCTGGGGGCGGGCAGGCGGATCGAGGAAGGAACAGGCCGTGCCGTGCCGTGAGCTCCGGGTCACGCTGCAGCGCGTCTGCCAGTTTGGGGGGGCAGGGAGCCCGCGTGCCCGGCCACCTGGCGAGCTCTGCGTCTCTCAGCAAAGGGGCAGGGAGCAGGGCTTAGCCCGGAGAGGCAGCGGTGGGGTCTAGGCGCGGACATTCTCACCCCAATGGCGGGCACGCAGACCCCACTTGGGTTCCATCCAGCCACCATGCAGTATGCACACGGCCCAGGACGGTTTCTGTCCGGATGGCGGCTCGTGCAGCCGCAGCAGGCCCCTCGGGGACGGCGGCCTCGGTGGCCTCCTGACGCCCGCGCCTCTACCCAGAGCCCTGCTGTGGCCTCCTGCCCCGTCCGCGGGCCTCACTGCTGCCAGACCCATCTCAAAAGCCAGGCTCACCTCATGCTTTGGCTCACCCTGAAGCCTCCCACCCAAGGCCAAGGCCACTGAGGCAGGCTGGCCCGGCCCTCGGTTTCGCAAAGTGCGGCTCACGCCAGCGTTCTAGGCCGGCCGGCTTCCTGCTGGACGCCCCACTGCCAGCCGCTCCTGGCCTTCTGGCTGAAGAACTTGGTTCTTCCCCTTCCTCCGGGCCAGCCATGCGGGTCCGGCCCAGCCTCCTTGCAGCAGGCGTGTGTGGGACGGCAGCCAGACCTCCGAACCGGCCGCCGGGCCAAGGCCACGCGCTCCCCCGGCCTGCGGGGCCCCTGCGCTGGGGCTGCGTGTGTGGCTCGCACTGCTGTCCAGCTGGTCTCCTCCACAGTGTCTTTCTGTGGTGCGCCTCAGGCCTGGAGAGATCTTGGGGTTCGCTGTGGCTGAGACTTCTTCCCTCTCTCTTTGCATCAGTGTCAGACCTGCTGACAGCTGGCGAATCTCGTTGGCAGAGATTTCTGCCTCCTGCTCTCCTGCAGGCTCTCTGCTTCGCACTCCCTGGAATCCCACTGCGCCCCCTTCAGCATCCTCCAGACTACGCCCTGCCACCCGCTACCAGGCCCGACACCCAGGCTCTGGCTTGTCCGGGCGCTCCTCGGGCACCCGGCTCCCTCTCTGACTCCTCTCCTGAGGCACCTGCCCGGAGGCAGAGCACGGTCTCGCGCTGCTCCTTTAGGGTCCTGCCGGCCTGGGTCCCCTGTGCGGACCACAAGCCGCACAGGCTGCGGCCCCCCGGGGACCTGAAGCTGTGTCCTGGGGCGGTGGAGAACAGACTCCAAGAGGGGAGTCAGCGGAGGCAGAGGGGCCTGGTG